TAAGTGCTGTTTATTATACGGTCTCTCTTTTCCTCTAGCAGCTACTGCTGGCATCACTCTCCAGGCTGCTAGAATGGAGGCAGAGTGCACTTGGTATCACTGCGCTCGAGGCAGGTGCCAGCGCTACAGAGGAATCATCGACTTATATGGCTCCTGCTCTCTCCATGGCCGCCTGCTCTGGCTTCATGCACTTAATATTACTTGTGTAACAGCACCGGTACATGCACTCTGAACAAACAGCATTGCCTGTGCCGTTCCTTCAGACCTGTGTGCCATAAAAGGTGACTCCTGTGCGCATGCGGAAGAAGGACCAGGTGACGATGGAAGCCCTGTCAGTGGTGACAGCGCACCCCTGGAGGGTTTCCTTTAAAAGGTAAGTGTCACATAATGTGTATCCATACTAGCACATTATGACATTGCCTTGTGGAGAAAAAGTGTTTTTTTTTTTTTAATTTTCAGGTTTACTACCACTTTAAGTCTTCCCATGCAAAGAACCCTGTGAATGGGTGACACAGCTGTGTCAGCAGTTTGAGAGTAGGGGGTTGGGGCACGTGGCCATGTTTCATCCAAAGTATCGGTCTAACACGCAAAAAAATAGTTTCAAAAGGTGGACTATGCCATTAATAAACAGACCACTTAGTAGTGATGCAGAAAGATTAGGATAATGCAGTGTGTAAAGTCAACAATGACAGGTGCCATATTCCCATTCTGATTGGCTCCAAATGAAAATCTGTGGGCTAAGGCACTGTAGGAGATTGGGCACGGACTGGCAGTCATGATCAGCAGGAACACAAAACACAACTTATCAGTTGTAAAATTAAACCAGAATACATAGCTGCCAACTCCTCACCAAAACACGGAAGTACTGTAGCATTCCTACACCAGTCATTGCTACAGGAAACAATTTCTACCATCTTTGAATAATCTTTTTGATACGTTAAAAACACTACTGTAAAAAAAAAAAAAATTCAACCCAAACCTAGCTTTCCAGCAGAATGTAGGAATAAAAATATAACTGGTACTTTATTCAACACTCATCCTCCAATATAAAAAATGCAAACAAAAAGGAATTCAGAGTCTACCAGTGTAGAAATGTTCTCACATGCTACAACACAGCCACAAGTATCTATTGCACCATCAGGGCACTGGTAAATGCACATATGTTGTCAGGATAGCAAGTGACAATGTTCATGCATTAAGCCACCTAAAAATGTTTTTTTTTTAACTGAAATAAAGATCAGCATAACAGCCAAGCAACTATCATTTTATAGATTACCAAATCCAGCTCACGATGTTTCCCTCCGTTGGATGCCCTGTGGTCTATGGGCTTCAAAGAGGTCACAATCTGACTATGTAGGTTACAACAGACATAGCAAATGATACAAGATATGTTATCAACGGTCTAAATTACATCAGGGCTGCAGAAGGCCACATGTAACCCAATTGCAAAAAATATTACAGCCCTTTGGGGAATAAATGCCAATTTTAAAACATTCCAATTATGTTAGGTATAAAAACAATCTGACACATTTTAGTTATTTTTATGCAGCTTGCACATTGTTAAACCAGAACTCCACAAAGCAGCTAAGTACGCAGCTGACTTGGAACAAAGTGTGTGCCACAAGTGCTGTCGGAGTGAATTCAGAACTGCCCTACACAGCACCTCAAACTAATGGATCTATCTACCAGAATAACAGCCCGGGAACTAGTATGTTAAGGGAAAGGTCAGCCTTATCCTTCCTTCATATTTAGACTAGTCATTGACTTGAGCAAAAAGGTGCTTCTCAGGTGTCCTGACATTCTAAGTGAGTCTGTGATTAAGAACAAGCTAGCAAGGCAAGGATCAGAATGACAGCCCTGCAGGTTGCACCCTAAAAACAAAACAACAACAAAAAAAGTAAGCAGTGTACGTGTTTCCCTAAAAACCTGGGAGCTGTCAGATTTATTTTTGAAGGTGCTAGCTGGTTGACAACCTGATCTACGCCTTTCTACCTGAAGTGATTTAGTGATCTGGAACAAGCTTGCAGCCACAAAGTATCAGGACAACTGACATGCACCTCATAGTTCACATTCAGTAACTCACCAAGAGTGGTGAATTTTCACTTGAAAAGAATACCCAATCACATCCCAAGAAAATAATAAAAAAATCAAAACAAAAAAAAAAAAAAAGCAAACAAAACACCCCCCCCCCCCCCCAAAAAAAAAAAACCAGCAGCATTTTAGATGATTGGATGATGACAGTCAGCAGAGCTTCAAAAGAAAAAAAAGGTACTCAACTCCCACCCACCCTATTTTTTTTTTTATTTTTTTTTTTTTAAGGGATGCACCAATACCTAGTATTTTCATGAGTACTCGTGAAAGAACTACTTTAACAGATACTTTGCGGTGCAATTTGCGTCCATTAACGCAAATCGCACTGCAAAGATTAGCATGCGAAATGTGATTCCTGTCCAAATCACATGCGGTTTCCCCACTGAACCCAGGCTCGTCATAGCCCGAGTTCACACAGGAGCGATGCGGGGAAAACCTCCCTGCAGGCATCCCATGCTGAATGTCAGTGGTAGGAGAGGGAGAGAAAGCGGTGAGGATTTGAAATCTCCACCGCTTTCTTTCCTCTTCTTGCAGCTATGACAGTTCAGGCTAGACAACACCTCAAATGGTCACCTGCAAAACCTTGTGGCCAAAACACACCCGAAGATGCCTAAACATCAACCTTGTAAAACGTGGTAAAAGTGTGTGTGTGACAAACGACCAGGTAGCAGCTTTGCACACCTTCAACACCAATGCCTGATGCCGAAAAGACCAAGACGCATCAATAGCCAAACAGGAGATACCTGACCATCAGGAAATAGTAGCAGAGGAAAGTGCCAAACCTTTACGCGAATCATCCGTAATGACAAGGAAGGAATCTGTTTCACAGAAAGGAGCCGTAGCAGATAGATGCACATGTACAATCCAAACTACATCCAAAGAATGAAACAGCTTCCTTAGGGTATGATGGGCACGGACAGAGTGGTGGAAGGACTATGTCCTCATTTTAGATCAAAACTGGAACCTTCAGCAAAAAGAAGGACATGATTGAAGAACTACCTTCCCTTAGGGAAGGCCAAGTAAGGGGATTTGCAGAACAAAGCCACCAGCTCCAACACATGGTGCACAGAAGTGATAGCCACTAAAAAAGCGCCATTTTGGGATAAAGTCTCCAAAGGAAGATCCCTAATATTTTCAAAGGGAAGCTTCTGCTGGACTGAAACAAAATCCCACGGTGGAAACAGAAAGAACCAGAGAAGCTACATGTCTGAAGGAAATACAACAATTGAGGCATCATAATCTTTTTTTTTTTTTTTTTTTGCCAAATTAGCCCGTCCCATCACAGAAAGCTTAAATTTATGCCATAAGTTTGTCCTGGAACCTAGTGAGCAGTGGAGAGATGTTCAGGTGGAAGCAAGCCGTCAACTCAGAGGGGACTACAATGCATAGATACTTAAAAAGGAGGCTACACAGGGAACAGGGCAAAACAGATGTAATTGAGGGTTGGGTTCCCCCTCCAGAGGAAGCAATGCTGATTTGGACCAGTTAATGGTTAACCCAGAGTATGTACCAAATTCCTGTGTAAATAGCCATAGTAGCTTTCAAAGAAGCATCAGTGTCTCCCAAAAGTAGCAACATGTCTGCATACAGCAGTAGCTTCTCATGCAAAGTGTTAAATCAGAAGTCCGTGATCTCCATAGAGGCCCGAATGCAAACAGCCAATGACTCAATGGCCAGAAAAAACAGCAGGGGCAAGAGAGGACACCCCTGCCGTGTTACCCCTACCAAGACAGGAAAAAAAAAAAAAAAAGTCCTACCACCCAGTTTAATAGCGTCCTGAGGCTTTGAGTATAGCAATCACACCCAAAACACAAATACTTCCTCAAATCCAAAGAGTTTGAGCACAGCCCACAGATGCCTCCACTCCACACTATCGAAAGCCTTGCTGGTGTCAAGGGACAGCACCGCTCTCTATCTCATATTATCCGAAGGCGTCTGCATGTTGAGAAACAAGCTCCTAAGATTATTAGCAGTAGATTTATGAGGCATAAAGCCCGTTTGGTCAGGATGTACAATACTAGCTACAACCTTATAAAAATTGCTTGGCCAGGACTTTCGCCAGAATTTTTATATCAGAGGAAAGCAGAGAAAAGGGAGGGTAAGAATTTGGATCAGTGGGGAACCACAAAGAACGTGCCTGCTGTTCCAGGGGAATCAAACAGGCAAGGAGGAGCCCGAGGATCCATTCTGGGTAAAACCCACCCCTAAGTGACAAAAAACTCACCAGAATGTGCACCCTGTCAAGCACCCAGGCACCAAACAGCTCCCAACCAAGGAGTGCTGCAGCAAAGAGGCAGAAGGGCCACAGCAGAACAGTGTCCAGCTATTGCTCCTGCCATCATGAGAAAGAGGAGCATCGCACATTCAGTAACAGCGAAGCACCACTACAAAAAAACGCACACAGCCTAGTCATATCCCAGGAACCAGTAGATAGAAAAGGTACATCCAAAATGGCCACCAATGGCCAAGAATAATGGCAAAAGCACTGATGGCCCTGCATGTCCCTTAAGCAACAGAAATGGGAGTCACTGCGCCAGACATGGAAACCCAGGGGGGAGGAGAGAGAAGGGAGAGAAGACCCAGGTAGGACTGACCAGCTTCCGAGGCCCATACAGAGGACATAGAACAGGGGTACCCCAGCACCCACCTCCAGGGATGGGGGGGGCAGTTTCATTAGCTGGGGAGAGGGGGAAAGGGGTTGTGGGCGACTGTGGCCCATTTAGTGTCCTTCTCCTGAAGGTGGTGCCATATCCGTACAGTCAAGATTCTTGCTGGTCTGTGTCCTTCAGAGAACGAAAGATGGCCTTTCATTACAAATGACAATAAAAAGGTAATGTTGGCCCACAGGCACCAGCCTGCAAAGTCCAAGCACAGAGCAGAAACAAAGGAGACTCCCCCACAATGACACATCATACAGGTACCTTGTGCATAGCGGCCAGCCAGGATGCTGACGTCTTCTTGTTACTATTAAAATCTTCACTTGTTGTAAACTTCATCTGTAAAAGATCATCTGAGCCAGCACTTTTATACTGAAGGAGCATCCCTGTAGCTCGACTGTTCCCTCCTGCATATTGCATAAACACTTAGTATACATCTTTCTATAAATATAGACTTAAAAATATTCCAAAACAGATTTGATATGGACATGAAAACATAACAAGCAGTAGCATATTTAATAACAGACAGCAGTCTTATCAGCCTTCTGGAATTTTTTTTTTTTTTTTTTGCCCCATCTTTTACGATGCTCACATTGCAGCATACAACCTGAGCAGCATGCTGCTTGGCTCATGTACACAATTTAAATGTATGTGACTTCACCTGATATTTACTATAAATTCAGAACGGAATGACAACACAAACCTCTTATGCATAAGCCAATTGGTGGTGAACTCAGAACATTTGTGCTTCACAGTGAAGACAGATTATATCAGCATTTACAAAGGCCGTCTGTAGCTTTTTATTTAGAAAATTGGAAGCAGCAGTCCCTTATAAGCAGTATTTCCCTTAGCAATGTAGCATGATGTGGTTAAAATCCAGACTGAACTTACTCCATGCACATGGCCTCTATCCAGATGATTAGGGTTTTTGCAGACCAAGTGCAGAAAAATCAGCAAATGTTAGCAATGGCACTTTGGAATTTGCCAGTGCTTGGTATCAATATTTCTGTAACTACCTGATGACACAACTCAGGATGGTGCCAACTAGAGTTTTTCATGACCTCTTCGCAGTGTCTAAGCACAGAGGCATTTTCATTAGGCAATTACTGGCCTCAAACAACTCCTCTATGTAATCGTTAAGGTGCATCTGAAGTAAGCCTAGTTAGTTGTGGAGGATACACCCTCTGGTACCATACGTTACCTTAGGTTTGGGACAGCTCCCCAACATGTTCCAATCTTTGAAGATCCTATGTAAATATCAGCACATGGGCTAGAGGGACCCCACCAACGTCAGCTGCCAAGCGCTAGGAATGTGCACTTTAAGGTAGTCGGGTTTCTGTTGGCAAGGTATGGTGCCAGAGACTGCCCACCTTGTGGCTAAAGGCTTTTACTTTTCATGCACACATTGCATGCAGGTCTCTGTGTTCCTAGGCTGGAAAATAACCTGGCTATAGGAGCAAAAGGAAACGCACACCTCTAACTCAGATATTTCTAAACACATTGGTGCAGAAGCAGACACTCTTCTGAGCATGCATGGAGGAGGGAGGAAGAGACTAGGTTCCCTCGTAAAATATAGCAAGTAGCTAAGATTACCCGATATATCCTAGGTTGGTCGGCCGGGGGTGTTTAGCACATTCTGCTGATATAGACAGGCGTGAGGGTGGTTTCCAAAAACCGAGACACCCCCTGGGTTCTTACAGCTCTTGCCCTATAAACTGCCTGACTTGACAGTAATACTATACATTGTCTCCCAGCTCCTGAGTGTCTATAATGAAATCAAATAAAACAAAACAGTGAAGAATGTAAACAATTAAGGAACCCTCTGTTACTGAATACTATTATACCATGAATTAGTGTTAAACTGGGAAATGTAAAACACTATCTGCTGCTACGTGTTAGCCCAGGTTCACATCTATGCGTCTGTGCAGGCTGCGGTTTGCGCTGGTATGGCAGCCCATTCACTGGAATGGGCTGCCATGCCACGTACAACTCAGGGAAAAAGTCCCTGCACTATTTTTTTGGAATCACAAGTACAGTGCAGTTCCTAGTGCGGGTGAGATTTCCAGTGCAGGTGGCGTGCCATTATGATTAATGACACCTGCCTGCAGCTCCTGGGTATCACTGTGCGGATGGTTGTGGCTGCGGAAAAAGGTGCCAAGTCCCGCAGCCGCAACCACCTGCATAGGTGTGAACTTAGCCTTATGTCCACTTTTATGTGTTTTTTTTTTTTTTTTGCAGTAGTTAGGGGAGCTTATTATTGTAATGGTCTCTCTAGCATACAGTTACATTCATGTTTTCACCATGGAAGACAGAGTGTAAGCAAGTATAAAGCTGGGACATTGTTTGCAGAGACACAGCCGCTTCCAAACAGAGTTCATGCTTAACTTTGCTTGATGTTCACAAGCCAAAGAACAACAAGGGTATACTGTGGACGAGGCAAAAAAAAAAAAAGAAGAAAAATCTGCAGAACAGCTACATTTACTAAATCACAATATAAAAAAAACAGGAGACCTGATCAGAGCAATGCATTAAAGTCATGCATTAAAAGGAAAACATCACTTTGGTTGAGATAAACGTGATTGTAGGTTGTTACTGCTGAGTAGACACAGATACTCCATCTTCCTACACCATGTGAGTCAGTTTCTGGCTTTTTGTATTTCTTGGAATCTCCAGCTCGGATACCCCTTAGTAGTCTCACTACAAATGCTGTATTTTCCAAAATATAAAATAAACCAAAAAAATCTATTGGGGAGCACGAAGCCTTGCTTGGATTTCAAGCAGGTAGGAGAATGCTGGGAACATATCTAGAGAGCTACTCAATTGTGCCCAAAAAGATTTAACATGTTGGTGGGTAAGCTTGTGCACCCACTGATGAACCATCTAATTTGATGAATGGCTTTCTTTGACAGACCAGCCTTGGGGACCTAGTTAATTTCTAAGTCTAGGGTGTTTTGTATAAATAATATTTGTCCTTAGGAAACAGATTGCCTTTTGGTGGCCTTCTAAGTTAGAGTATCCCCTCCCCCTCCAAAAAAAAATAATGTGCAACTCCAATGGATAATAATGACATAGCCATATTCAAACAGATGCTTCCTAGTGGCAGCCTTACCAATCAGCAGTGGGCATGAGGAAAGGTTACCCACCATTTCTCAGAAAGTGGAAAAGCTCTTATAATACTCCCTTCCCTCAGTTTCTCCAGTGTAAATGCTAGGCCTGTTTCACACGGGCATCAGCCTGTATAACGGCAGTGTGAATAGCAAGTTTTTATGAAACTTTCTCGAAGCCTTTTAAAGTGCCATTTAGCTTCTGTTTGGAAACGTTATACACAGATATTAATAGGAGTGCTAATTGTGCCTTCAAAACGAGATGCTAGCTGACTTTTGCAGGTTTTAAACAAGCTTCAAGTTGTGCTGAAGTCTGCTAGCAGTTCGTTTAAAGTGGCAGTCAGCTCTCCCATTAGGATCTGTGTTCAGAATTTACAAAGTGGAGCTTAATGGTGCTTTAAAAGCTTCAACAAAGCTGCTGAACGCTCTGTGAATGTTTTGTAAAAGCTTCCTGTTCACATTGCTCTTTTTACAAGCTGAAGCATATGTGACAGAGGCCTTAAGAATTTAACACAGTTAGAATACCATGGACACAGCTGTGTCTACAAGTCATGGGGAGTATATGTATTCTACTCAGAAGAGGCAACAATACAAAACGGTTTTCTCTTTTAGAAGTAAGCTCACCCTCTGGTAAGTACACCTTTTATATGGCTATTAGAGTTCAGCATTCATTGGAGAGATAATAAACAAACAATCTTGAACCATAAAGGCATATTCCAGGTTTTCGAATTTCATACTTGCAGACACAAATGGCAAGAAGTCACAGCAACCAATGAGAATATCTAAAAACGTAAGCGTAGTTACTGTAGATTGCTGTGCAATGTCCTCATTTTCGCAAGGAAAAAAAAGCAAATATGGGGAGATTGTAGTCATGCAGGCTAGTATCAGCATAGGGTTGCAGGAATAGTTGGCTTAAAGCCTGTAAAGAATGCTATTGCTTGATTAGTTATGAATTGGGTCACAGTGAAATTTAAAGAGAATTGGTTTCGGAATACATGGATTGGAGGTAATAAATATCTATTTGGAAAGCAATTAATCAAAGGATTGACACAACATGCGGACAGGCACACTCCCCTCATCCTCTGACCTTCTGTGATGCATTGGCTCTCCAGCAGACTGGTGTATGTGTGAATATCTTTGTACATCAAAGCAGCGTGAGCAGTGAAAAAAGAAAAGTCACTGAGAATACTATACATTCATGAAAACACATAGTTAATAGAAAAAAAAAATGCATGTTATTGTAAAAAAAAAAAAAAAAAAAGCTACAGTATTAAAAGCGTGCCATTTAAATGACTGACTAGAGAAGAAAAAGGTAAAACAGCTTAACATTGGGTTATTGTGTGACCATAAGAAATGCAGTGAAAAGTACCAGAATTATTTACGAAGTCAAAGAACACAGCAGCAGTAACCCTCAGCCACCGAATAGGACCTCGCATTTCACAGACATGGCCGCAATAAACTGAAATTGGACCGGTTGTTATCGTTTACTGCACTCTGTACCTTATCTTTGCGGTGCCTTGAACACCAATGTGGACACATTTTTAAAAAGGTGCAAGATCTAGGGCTGTCACCCTTATCCATACTTCACTACTTTGTGAATCACTGACTGGAACTAGTATACAGGTCAGCTGTCCTGATCCTTTTCTGGTGGTATGTTCATCTCTGGTTAGTAAGTGACTCACAAAGTAGAGAAGCAATGGTAAGAGCAGACCTGAATTTTGTATCTTTCACAAATCAGCAATAGCATTTCATATTTTGATCCCTGGACAGATTGCTATAAAAAACAAGCATACATAACATATTACAAATCCACAACTGGATAGTGATAGCGAATCCACTGAATCCTTGCCTTCAATTCAAGACTTTTCCTTTGCTAAGAAACTTACTTGCCAATACCACAGTTGGTAACATCTTCAGGACAGTGGAACTCAATTTGGTGGCCTGCTTTCGTGTACAACTATGTGCCTGAAATGTTTTATGTCTTTTCGTTTTTATATAATCAATTATTTTCTATATGCTTTAGATAGTGTTGCTTAGTAGGCCCTAGAAAAATAGTTTGCTTGGAAGAGTGTTTTTTATTAATAACATATTTTAGGGATCAAGCTCTTTTCCCTACATTGTTGATAGCAGGAACTGTCACCACTGTCTAGCTTGCTTTGTATGCCAGGAAATTCAGGTGCAGGCAGGATGGGGCTTTTCTACGCTTCTCATACAAACCTAACTGCAAAAGCCTGGCTACACTCAGATGATTACAACGCTTTCATTACATTTTATTGTTTTGGACAAGCACAAAAAAAGCACCATCTGGATTCTTCCCACTCTGACACATTTCACCCTAGCATGAAACAAATCAGAATGGGAAGGGCTTTTTAGGTCTGTAACAAAGTTTTATTGAAAAGCCAAGATCATTGGTATGCTGTTGGTCTCCTGCAGTCCCCTACACGATTGGTAACTGTTTTGTCTAGTAATCTTACACACAGCCATTAACAATATTTTTTGATGTGAGAAAAAAACTAACCTCTTACCAGATCGGAGTTGAAAAAATATGTTTTAATATTCTCTTACCTCCAGGGGTAAACCCTTCTGTGAGTATCTGAACAGTAGAAATTCGGGCAACTTCTATTTCATAATGGTTCTCTCCATCAAGGAACAAATATCTACAGGCAAAAGAAAAACATGTCATTTAGGCTTACACAAGCTAAACACTTCTATACATACAGAGGATTCAGTGTAGGAAAGCAAGGCCAAATTAAAGGAAACCTGTACTCACAAGTAGTGGGCCTACATAAATAAAAGTAAACAGTACTGCCTTAAAGATATTCTATAACTTATGTTACCCTAAGTGTAAAAAAGAAAATAAAAAACAAAACAAAAAAAAAAAACACTACAAAATATAAACAAAAAAAAACAGAGAACGTATATATTAATTCATTCAAAATGAATTCAGTGTCCATTAATAAATACATTTCCAAAGAATCCGTATTAAAACATGCAAGAAAATAAGGGCACTTCCTCTAAGGTGCTCTTTTCTGCATCCATAAATCATACCGTGTGAAAAACAAATGCACCAACTCCAATTAACCTCTGAAACAAATAAGTAGGTCACAGATCTTTAAGTGCTGTATGGTATGGTGCTTTAATAGGTATTTTATATAGTTTAGAGCACAGAATATTTATTGTTTATTAGAAGTATTGGGCCATTATTCCTGACCTACCTCTGAGAGCACTAATCCTCTGGCTGTAACTAGCCAGGAACAGGCATGCAGACATTAAACTGGTTCTAAAGCCTTAAAAAGGAAAAGGAAATTTCACCTTTCTGAACATGTTACACCCATATTTAGGGTGTTACATGTCTACCATCAGACCCCTCTCCCCCCTCCACATCACAGCAAGCCAGGGATCTTCTCCCTCATCCTTCACTGTTGAGCACCATGTTAGCTCAAGTCTTCCTGTCAGTGTAAAACTGCTTGCCTGTACGATGTAAATTAAAAAAAATAAAAGTGAATTTTGTTTTTTGTTAAACTATGAAGTTATTCTTTAAAGTTTTTAATGCTTAGAATGCATTAAGGTAAAAAACCTTCTGTTACAGAGCATTCCCCCCCTCACCCTCTTATACTTTGCAGAGCCCGATCTCTATGCAGCGCTGTGCACAAGAACTGCAGCTCTCCTGACTCGGTTCCTCCTCACTGGGAAGATTGAGAGCAGTGGCAGCCATTGGTTCCTGCTCCTGTCAATCAAATACAGGGCGGCTCGGGAGTAAGCAAGCACAAGTGCCCACACAGAAGATTTGGGGGGAGCGAGGAACACTGGCGGGGAAACCAAGAAGAGGAGAATTGAGGCTGCTGTGTGCAAAACCATTGCATAGAGCAGGCAAGTATAACGTGTATTATTTTAATAGAAAAAAAAAAGCGCTTTAAAATCACAACTCCTGAGGTACATACTTTCTCTGGGTCTGTGATTCTGCCTAGAAGCCTCTGTATCAGCATAACAACCAGGCAAATAGCATTTTCAGAATGGTATGCTTTTTATGTTACTCTGCAAAGGTTTCCTGTAAAAAGAGTTTCCCTTTTAAAAGGCATGACAATGTAAAAACGCTTTTGCCTGAAGCGAGATTTACTGGAAGGTTTCCACCTCAGACTCTTGCTGCTCTGGTAACAGATAAATGCTCTGCAACCTTCAGTATTTCACAAACTGTCCCTCTGTGGCTGAAGAGATTGCTACACATAAGTTAGCCCAAGGGAAAAAGTGTGAAAGTATTGTCCTTGGCAAAATGAAAATTTGATTGGCTGCAAAAAGGCATACCACTGTTAAGTTTGCTAAAAGGGTCAAACAAAAGTAAAATGCTTAAATAGTGACCAGCCCAATTGATTTGTAGTGAGTAGATTGGTGGGGCTGTGTAAGTCAAGATAGACAACTTTTCCAGATTTACAAACACTTGTCTGACAAAAGGACAGTAAAAACACAGTCCCTGTTTACTGGGAATTATGTATAAAATGTTAAGTTTTAAGCTGGCCATACATGGTTCAGTTTATTTCGTTCAGACAGCAGGCTGAAGAGAGAAAAAAAAAAAAAAAAAATGAACAGAATCCCCCATCCACACAGAGGTGGATGGGGGAATCCTCATCGCTGTATTATTGTATTCTGACAGAGGGGAGACTCCCCCACTGACTAAATATATGGATCAGCACTGCAGCTGCTGATCGAGTGGCTTTTATCCCACATGGCAGTTGAACAGAAGTCGGTAAGTATATAGACTTCTGTTCAACTGCAGTGGCCACACATGGATCAAAATTTATCTGGTATCTGCTGGACAGGCCAAATTGCAATCCATCTGTGGTCACCTTTAAGGTTCCCCCCCCCCCCCCCAACAATGTGTTAACACAGGAAGAAAATTGTAGGCAAAGTGTCATAAGTACAGATGGAATTGACTTTACCTGTGGTTGTTGGAAAGTCGACACACTACAGTTTCAGACTTCTCTGAGGATCCCTGGGTTATGTCAAAAGTAGCACCTGGAGACACAGGAGGAGAGTAAATAAATACATATAATTTATAAGGCCCCTTTCACATGAGCGGACCGATGTGGTCCATCCATCCAGACACTAGTCCACCGACACCCGCAGGCATCCAATCACATTCTGTGCATCAAAAACAGATGGATGGGCATCTGTTCCCCATCCATCCAGTGGATCGGATCGAATGACAATCAGGTGGAAACAGGCGGTCCATTTACATCCAACTGAAATCAGCAGGCAGTGGGAGTCCACTCTGCAGCAGCAGAGTGGACAGAGACCTGGCATCCACCTGCTCAGCAGGGATCAGTCGTATCACGGTGACAGAGCCACCCCGTCTGAAAAGGGCCTAAAGATCAAAGGTCAGCTTTCAGTTTTCTTTTCACCAAACTATAAAAATGGTTGGATGTTTTTCAGTGTCTGATTTATTTTCTTCATTATTTTTGCACCATTTAACTTTTTTTTTTTTTTTAACAAATTTTATTGGAGTTTACAGGATTTCGTGTTCAGATTACACCAATTTTCTATACATATTTTAAAATTAGGACTCCAAATGGTGACTCAATTTCAAGTCTTCGTCTTTAAAAGCCCATAGTTGCCAGCTTTTTAAAATATTTGAGAAAACAGCAGCCATCAAACTAAAATTTAAGAACAGGAGACACTAGAATTATTATTATTATTATACAGGATTTATATAGTGCCAATAGTTTGTGCAGCTCTTTACAATATAAGGGAGACAATACAGCGACAATACATTTCAGTACAGAAGGAATAGGAGGGCCCGGCTCGTGGAGCTTACAATCTAAAGGAAGGGGGAGATGATACAAAAGGTGATAGCTGCAGGGGATGATCTGGCGGAGGTGATAAATCTAGTACAGTTCTTAGGTGGAGGTGGGGTTGGCTTCCCTGAAGAAGTGCGTTTTCAAAGATCGCCTAAAGGCAGACAGGGTGGGGGATGACCGCTCATGCTGTGGTAGGGAGTTCCAGAGGATGGGACAGGCTCTGAAATATTACAAGCTCAGTTTTTGAAAGATTGAGTTTGAGGTAGTGATGTGACATCCATGCTGATATGTCGCTTAGTAGATTTGTGATACGTGAGGAGATTGAGAGGGTGAGCAGGGGAGTGGAGAGATAGATCTGGGTGTCATTAGCATAGAGGTGGTATTGGAAGCCCTGGGATGTTATCAGTTGGCCCAGGGAGGAGGTATAGAAAGAGAAAAGGAGGGGCCCAAGAACAGAACCTTGGGGTACCCCAACAGAAAGGGGAAGAGGAGCGGAGGAGGAGTTGTATGTGACACTGATAGTGCGCTGAGAAAGGTAAGAGGAGAACCAGGAGAGAGCAGGGTCATGGAGGCCGATGGAGTGGAGTTTACTGAGGAGGGGAGGGTGGTCGACTGTGTCAAAGGCAGCGGAAAGGTCAAGGAGTATGAGTATGGAGTAATGGCCGTTGGTTTTAGCAGTTAGTAGGTCATTAGTGAGTTTTAGTAGGGCAGTTTCTGTGGAATGTTGTGGGCAGAAGCCAGACTGTCAGGGATCAAGAAGGTTGTTGTCGGTGAGGTAGCAGTTCATATGGTTGTGAACAAGGTGCTCGAGAAGCTTGGAAGCAAACGGGAGCAGGAAGATGGGTCTTAAGTTATTCAAACAGGTGGGGTCCAACGAGGGTTTTTTGAGAATGGGAGTAACCAGTGCATGTTTGAGTGGGGAGGGAAAGGTGCCCATGGAGAGTGAGAGGTTGAAGATGTGGGTTAGAGAGTTTAGGATAGAACAGGAAGGAGGCTGCAACAGTCGTGAGGGGACAGGTGGTGAAGTGGGCCTTGGAAAGGAGATCGGTAACTTCCTTGGAGGTAACAGAATCTGAACAAGGACTAGAAACCAATCTTCTTAAACAAAAAAAAAAAATTATTTTGGTTGGAATCTAACTTTAAAATAAAAGGTGTGTCCTGAGAATTTGCACAGTCATCTCTCTTCTAAAGCCATTTGCTTTCTTCCCCACTGGTTCACTCTAAAGAGGCACTACCACCTTTCCCATGCAGAGCAAAGTGACAGTGCTTCTGTACAGGACATTCCTTGACCCCCTGATACTTGCCTTACCTGCAGCTCCCTTGCAGCTTCTTGCCCCCCCGCAGTCAACGCTAAAATCAGCTGTGACAGTACATAGGCCTAGTGTTTGACAGACAAGCCTTGGCACAATCAAAAGTAGTAGGTCCCATGGTTCCCCATATCCAAAAGTGCTGGGTACTCTTGTGGGCTGTGGAGGAGCAATATGAGAGGTCACCCAGGTAAGACAAGTACAAGGCAGTGAGGGGAGGAGGGGTCCTCTGCAAATATACTGTGACATTTTTCTGTACAAGAAAGGTGACAGAGATTTACTAAAACTGGAGCACTCAGAATTTGGTGCTGCTGTGCATGGTAGCCAATCAGCTTCTAACTTGTTCAGTTAAGCTTTGACAATAAAACCTGAAAGCCAATGGTTTCTATACAGAGCTGCACCAGATTTTGCATCGTCCAGTTTTAGAAAATCTCCCCAACTGTCTCTTGTGAACAGGGCCTAAAGGTCCATTTTGACCTACTATAGAAGCCTCAAGGTCCTTTCAAAGGAATTTATTTTTACAGGTAGTTATACAGTACAGTGTTGACAATTTATGCAGCACTTTGCAGAGCTGTACATGCATATCAGTCACCGCCCTCAAGGTGCTTACAATATAAGGTCACCATTTCACATGCATATACTAGGGACAATTTAGACAGGAGACAACTAGTCTACCAACATGGCTTTGGATTGTGGGAGGAAGCTGGGGTACCATGCAGGTATACGGAGAACAAGCATACTCTACGCAGGTAGTGTGTGTTAGAATCCCAACCTGGGACCCTTGTGCTGGAAGGCAGAAGTGCTAACCACTTAGCCGAACTCCTGTCCAATCGTTTGGTCAAATAATAATCTTTCTGGAAAGTGTTAGGTCCTATTCACATTGGAGCAACTTGAAAAATCATTCAATTTAGCCCATGTTTCCCACCTGAAAGTCTGCTCCAAAATTTAAAAAAGACAAACAAAAAAAAAAAAAACATGACACTCATGTATGAATGCAATCTGAAGGATAGAGCTGATGTATTTGATATTGCTGTAGGAGTGATGTATAATAGCAGATTATAATTTTACTGCTTCCTCATAAGTACAGGAACTCAACTACTTACCATTCATCAGCACTTTAAGCTGTCGATCGTAGAACTCCATCTCTTTTTGTGAAATGACGGAGCATTCCCCGCATTGGCGCACCGGATCCACAAAACACATGCGGGGCAGAGGCACTTTCTTGCTGCAGCATTTGTCACAGAAACATTTACCACATCTACGGCAGTGGTGCTAGAGGAGGGATAAGAACAAAGTAATTCACCGAACACTACAGAACTAAATAAGCACATCTGAGTTACTGTAGAATCAAAGACAGCATCCCCATTAATCCAGGACACGGGGAGATTCAAAAGAAAAAGGATTCCTATATGCAAGGCTGAGCTGCTGCAGCAGCAGAAAGCCCTGATCCAACAGGCCCATTTGTATGGGTGGTGCATTAACTGCAAAACATTGTGCACTGATGTGGAGAAGGGGAGGGGGACTTACTAAAATACAGAGGCTGCAGATTGCCAAAAATACTGAGGATGGTCTAGAACAGGGGTCTTCAAACTTTCTAAACATACGGCCAATTTACTGTCCATCAGACTTTGGGGGGGGGGGGGCTGGACTGTGGCCATTGGGAGTGGAAATTGTCCCAGCATCAGTGAGAGTAAACAACGCATCTTTGGTATTAGGGGGAGGAATAGCTCCCCTTCATGGGTGTAAGTGGGAAGAATAGCTCCCCTTCATGGGTGTAAGTGGGAGGAATAGTGCCCAGTTGTGTCAGTGGGAGGGACAGCACCCCATCATTGGCGTCAGGGACAGCGCCCCATCATTGGCGTCAATGGGAGAAGAAATAGTGTCTTGTATCAGTGGAAGGAAAAGTTCCTAGAGGGCTGGATAAAGGCAAGTAAAAGGACAACATCCGGTCCCCGGACTGCAGTTTGGAGACCACTGGTCTAGAACAAGCACCATTTTTTATATGACAACACTAATCCGCGTAAGAAAAAAAAAAGGAAATTGGGACACTTTTTTTCTTCAATAAATTCTAGCATATCAGACGTCACGGCTTACCTTCCTGGTAATGAAGTCAAACTTTGCTTCACAATGCATACATCTTGGGCACTGAAAAACATGAAACCAAGTGTTATTAATACACACAAAGTGCTGAGTGCTCACACAGCCTTTTCATAAGGGAATGGCTTATTTTCATAACAGCCCACACCCCATCTGTTATACATTTTACATCAGTATTCATACACAAAGCCAGCACGCTTATGCTGGCCTGCTAAAGCTGAACTCCAGCCTTACCTTCAGTTTCACGCAGTTGTGTGGGCGTCTCTCTTGTACTAAAATTGCTTACTCTGATTTCAGTGAACACTGTGAGCTTCTCACAGTGTGCATTAGAAGCTGCAGCAAGTCAATTACAGTCTACCTCATTTCCTCCTTGGAGGACCATTGGACAGTATCATCCAAGCCCGAATTTCCCTGGCCCGCCCCTTTCATTCATTGATTTCAGTTCTTTTAAATCACAGAGGCTCAGGCATTACTTAGGGCGGTGTACATAGGAACACCCACTCCCCCAGACTGAATCTATGCATTTTGATAACTTGCAGCAGGACAGAGGGTTTTTAAGAGGAGTAGTGGGGCAGGGTGCGGTGATTTTTTAGGAAGCTATATATGGCACCCTGCTGACCCTTCCCACCAGCTATGATCTGTCTGCATTGCATTGAGGAGCACAGAGACCTAGTGATGATATCATTGGACAAAATAAGGTATGTAATGAAAACAGAAGGGTTTTATTTGAAATATTAATTAGCACATTGTTGAGGGGGGGAGAGGGTGAAACCAGGGAAGACAAAATATATAAAACAGATTAATTTTCAGATTTTAAATAAGTAGCACTGTGCAATAAACCACAGTGAGAGAGCATATTGCACACTCATCTACAGCTTACTGATTGGTTGCCATGTGTTAATTGAGCCCTACTCCAAGTCTTCCTAGAACTAGTTATTTTATCACTGGAGAAAACATATAAACCTTGCATACTGTAGCTATAAAACAAAATTCTGTTGCATATAAATATATATTTTTAGTATACATATACAGTATATGTATTACACAATTTATGGCAGATCCATAGCCCTTGTATGCAAAACACATGCGGACATCAAAGCAGACAGCCCTCTCCAGGGACTTCCTCATACTGATCGTTGAGTGGGAAAGTCTGCACGCTTTTATCACATGATCACTCCTCACGTTGTAATAAGAGTTACATGGATTCCTAACAAGATGTACGGCAGAATTGCCACCAGAGGTTAAAGATTCACCTGTGGACAAAGCTGAGGAGAATGGAAATTAAACAGGCAATTTTGTAACAATAATGCCTCATCCACACTGGACGCTTCTACAACTGCTTCTAGGGGCATCTGCCATTTTTTTTGTGCCTCAAAATTCCCCTGCATGTTAGCCTATGTATCCATGCACACAAACGTTCAGCCCTGGTTCACAACGATACGGAATTAAGTTGACAAATTGTATCCCATGATCGGCATTTGAATTGTATCCCATGATCGGCATTTGAATTGTTCTAATCGGTCCAATTCCAACTTTGCCACATTCGCACTGTTTAGAAAAGTAGTTCCTGCACTACTTTTGCCGATTTGGGGTGCAACTTGCATAGATATCTGTGCATGGAGTTGCACAGATGTCTATGAAGTTGCACTGCCACCCGACTTTGAAATCGTGCAACTTCACTTGAAGTCACACGATTTCATAGTCGCATCCAGTGTGAACCAGGGCTCAGAGGAGTTTAGAGGCAGAAAATGCACTGCCAGTGTGTCCAGGAGTAGCAGAGTTTTGGCACAAATACGATTGATGCTTCTAAACACATGTAAATGCACATTAATGCTAGCCGTGTGTTCAGAATTGAGTATTAAATTTATTTCAATGGTCAGAAAAAATTATTTATTCTGACCAATGAAGTGAACTCCCAACTGCTTCACACGGCTAAATGCATTACGCACGCGATGACAAGTATCAGGCGTTTTCTGCCAAAACACTGCTGCCAGAAGGAAAGGCTTCTAGGAGAGTTAGGAAAACGTTCTGTGTGCATGAGGCCTACCAGCACAAATACTCCCCATTCATTTACTACTATACTTAATACAAGGGGCGGGGACAAGTGTTAGCATACCATTTTTCAGAGTCCTGAAAAACATAGTTTTTAGAACCCCCCCATTACAAGGCAATAAATGTAATATTTAACGTATATATCTAAATCAGGAGTCTCCAAACTTTCCAAACAAAAAGAGCCAGTTTTCTGTCCTTCAGACATTAGGGGGCTGGACTATGGCCAGTGGGAATAGAAAATGTCCCAGTGTTAGTTGGAACAGACAAGGACTCCAGCTTGTTGGTCAATGGGAGTAACCTGTGCTCAGCAGGAGGAGAAATAGCGGCCCATCGCTGGCGTCAGTGGCAGGAATAGCGGCCCATCGCTGGCGTCAGTGGCAGGAATAGTGCCCCATCGCTGGCGTCAGAGAAGGGTATATTGTCATATCATTGATCTAATTTGTAGGATTTATGCCCTGTTGTTGGTGTCAGTGGGAGGAATAGTGCGCCATCACTGGGGTCAGTGGGAGGAATAGTGCGCCATCATTGGTGTCAGTGGGAGGAATAGTGCGCCATCACTGGGGTCAGTGGGAGGAATAGTGCGCCATCACTGGGGTCAGTGGGAGGAATAGTGCGCCATCACTGGGGTCAGTGGGAGGAATAGTGCGCCATCACTGGGGTCAGTGGGAGGAATAGTGCGCCATCACTGGGGTCAGTGGGAGGAATAGTGCGCCATCATTGTGGTCAGTGGGAGGAATAGTGCGCCATCATTGGGGTCAGTGGGAGGAATAGTGCGCCATCATTGGGGTCAGTGGGAGGAATAGTGCGCCATCATTGGGGTCAGTGGGAGGAATAGTGCGCCATCATTGGGGTCAGTGGGAGGAATAGTGCGCCATCATTGGGGTCAGTGGGAGGAATAGTGCGCCATCATTGGGGTCAGTGGGAGGAATAGTGCGCCATCATTGGGGTCAGTGGGAGGAATAGTGTGCCATCATTGGGGTCAGTGGGAGGAATAGTGCGCCATCATTGGGGTCAGAGGGAGGAATAGTGCGCCATCATTGGGGTCAGTGGGAGGAATAGTGCGCCATCATTGGGGTCAGTGGGAGGAATAGTGTCCCACCACTGGTGTCAGTGGGAGGAATAGTGTCCCACCACTGGTGTCAGTGGGAGGAATAGTGTCCCACCACTGGTGTCAGTGGGAGGAATAGTGTCCCACCACTGGTGTCAGTGGGACATTTGACCATTGGACTATATTTTAGGGTCCCAATCAACACCATGCTAACACCTGACTACAGACAGAGGAGCAATGAAAAGTTTCATCTAATCAACAAAAACATTTGCACCCAAGCAGGTGAAATTTCCCCACAGTGAAACACTTCACCTTTTGTTGATTACCCTTTTTGTGATTGGCTTCTTCTGGCTGACAGGCACCTAAAACAACCTACTACACATAAGTGAGGACAAGAAGATCTGTGACAGCTGCACCCATGGAAACAGTCATGAAGGGATGATGTGCATGTGTTTACAGAGGCAGTTCAGCTGCAAGCGAAAATTACTTGCAGATGAGAGGACAGCCACTTGAAAACTTCACAAGCAGTGACAGGAGCAGAGTGCAGAATTCACAGCTGACATCCCAGCCTGCAGCTCTAGTAGAGTTAGGAAAAAGAAATATCCAGAGCCTAGTGCTGCATATTCACAGATGTATAGTGGGGAAATCAATTATTGATCCCCTGCAGATTTTGTAAGTTTGCCCACTTACAAAGAAATGAAAGATCTATCATTTTTATCATAGGTATATATTAAAAATGATAGAATATAAACCAAAAATCCAGAAAAAACATGATACAAATGATATAAAATGAGCTGCAGTTCAGTGAGTAAAATTATTATTTGATCCCCTACCATCAATAATTCTGGCTCTCACAGACTCATGTGCTCCACAGATTAGTCCTGTCAATTTAGGAAGGCACTCCTAACAACAACTCGTTCTGTGTATAAAAGACACTTATCCACAGAATCTTTCTTGGGCACCACCATGGCCAAGAACTGGTAAAGGACATCAGGGACAAAATTGTAGCTCTGCACAAGATTGTAATGGGCTACAAGACCGTCAGCAAGAAGCTTGGTGAGAAGGAAACAACTGTTGGAACGATTGTCTCATCCATGTAAACTGATACATTCTGCTGGAGACCTTGAACTTTGATAAACAGCAGACTTACTGTCTGAATGAAAGATGAAAAGAGATGTGATGTCTGTATTGGTTTCCATTTTTAAGCTTTCCTTTCTTCTAAGAACTGGTAAGATGCATTATAATAAATGTTAAGCCCTGGTTCACACAGAATCTGATTTTGAAATCGTGCAACTTCACTTGAACTCTCACGATTTCAAAGCTGAAGCTCAGTATAATTTCAAGTGTGACTTGACTGACATTTGTGCGACTTTATGCACAGATATCTATGCAAGTCGCACCTGAAATCACAAAAAAAAAAAAAAAAAGTGTAGGAACCTTTCCCCCCCCAAATCGGTGCGGCACCACAAAGTCGCACAGATTTGAACAGTTCCATTGCTGACAATAGGGTGCGACTTGTCATGCGATTCGGAACTGTCAAATCACATGACAAGTCGCACCAGTGTGAGCCAGGGCTAATACGGCTTTAACATCCAACTACAGGTTGTCTTTAAGAAACTAGTAGATGTGACATTTGTGAGTTCTTGGCATCTTTCAAAAGTACAAAGGTAGTACGGAAAACAAAGATAATGTGACCCTTGCCCATGAAAAGTAGATCAATGGGTACATTTATTGTAAGCGGTCAAAAGAAATTAGTAGAGAAACAGAAGCTCTTTCAAAGAGTGCCTCCTAAACATTTGGGACTCAAAACAAAAACCAGATAAAATATGGGTAAATATGTAGATTAAAAAAAAAAAAAAATGGAAGATGAAAGAGACCACTATTAAAGTGCAAATCTAGGCTTTCGGAGCGATCGTCCGATAGTCTGATAGCTTTCGAGAGCTGATCACG